GCCGCGCCCCCCGCAGCCCCACCTGGGCTCCCGCCCACGCTCCGGGGCCGCGTGCAGCCCCCAGGTTTGGAGGAGATTCTGTTCTCCCCGCACCGGAGCCCTCCTCGCCTTGACCAGCTGCAGAGAGTAGTCCGCGGCCGCCCGCCCTGGCGAGCTGCCCTGCGCTGAAGTTGTCCCAAGAGGCTGCAAGGGCTCTGGGTCATGGCAGCGAAAGGGAGGGCTGTAAAAGCGCCCCTTTGCTTGCCGGGATGGTAATTGTATTTTCTTTGCAGAAATCCAGTGATCAGATAAGGCGCAACTGGTTTGCTTGTGTCAAGTGGACTGTGTACCTGCTGCTCGAGCCTCATGAGTGCTCCGGGTTGCGCTTGCGAGGGGTTTCCTTGCAGCTCCTATCTCCTTGTCCTTGCAGGCTGGGAGAGGTGCCCTCGCCATGCTTGGGGTCTCTCGCTGGCAGCCTCGGCCTCAGCAGCTCTGGGTTTCCTGCTTTTCCCCTGTAGACAGCAAGCAGCCGAGCTTGAGCCCCAGCCGCGCTGGGGAAGCGAAGCAGACCGCGTTTATGGCCTGCTTCCATCTTCACCCCTTTCCTCCCTGCCGCCTTCTGCTTTCTTGAAGAGGAACTTTGATCCTTGCTTCATTCAGTTTGTTTCTGTCTAAACCTGTATCGCTTGCCTTCTTTTTCATGTCCTTCGCAGGAGCAGGATTCTCTTTTAAAGTTCAGCAGCTTGTCACAGAAAGTACTGAAAGGCTAAATAGAGCCTTGTTTATTGACTAAGTGATTAACTTAAGTGTAGAATTGCATAATTGGCTTGGTATCATCTGGAAAAGAAACTCTGGGCTCACACTTGGCAGGAGTTAATGCTCTTAATCCAGTGCTTGCCATTGTCTAGATGAAAACAAAGTTGCGCTTGGGCCTTTGAGAGAAGTGGCCTGTGTTGCTGTCCCTCCGTTCCCCTGCCAAACACCACCCTACAGAGGAGAAAAAGGGATTTCTCTCCTCTGTAGAGCCTTTCCCCAAGGGGTGAGCCCTCTAGGATGTCTTTAAGTTTGTTTCTTTGCAGCGCCTATGGGCAGGGAGGGGAGCATAGGGGCTGCAATCCCAGAGCTTTGCTTGATTTCCCTCTGCCTTCTGTTTTGCGCATAGGCGACTGCCAGCTGCAAACCCACTGTCGCATCCAGAAGTGCACCACGGACTTTGTAGCCTTGACGTCGCATCTCAACTCCGCTCTCGATGGTTTTGACTTGGAGTTCTGCAAGGCCCTGCGGGCGTACTCAGCCTGCACCTACCGCAACTCCAAGGTGTGCCGCGGAAACCTCGTCTACCACTCCGCGGTGCTCGGCATCAGCGACCTCATGAGCCAGAGGAACTGCTCCAAGGACGGACCCACGTCCTCCACCAACCCTGAGGTGACGCATGACCCCTGCCACTACAGCGCCCGCGTGGGTGCCAGGGAGCAGCGTGGCGGGGAGCAGCTCTCTCCTCCCACCTACCTGTTCTGTGGCTTGTTCGGTGACCCTCACCTGAGGACTTTCAAGGATCACTTCCAGACATGCAAAGTGGAAGGGGCTTGGCCCCTCATAGACAATAACTACCTATCAGTGCAAGTGACGAATGTTCCTGTGGTCCCAGGATCCAGTGCTACTGCTACAAATAAGGTATGGGTCGCTCTTAAGTCAGAGGCGTAGCAGCAGTGAGCTACTTAACCCTGATGAAGGAAGGGTTGCAAGAGGCTGAGAATGTTTGAGACTGTAGTTTTTAGAAAATACAGTTGCTGGGCCTATATTCTGTGAATTTGCTCTTTTGCCGATTTCACAGAATGGTTGAGGTTGGAAGGGACCTCTAGAGATCATCTAGTCCAACGCTCTTGCTCCAGCAGGGACACCTAGAGCACGTGGCACAGGGCAGCGTCCAGGCGGGTTTGGAAGATCTCCAGAGAAGGAGACGCCACAGCCTCTCTGGGCAGCCTGTTCCAGGGCCCTGTCACCCTCACAGGAAAGAAGTTCATCCTCAAAACACCTCTGCCTCCCACCCTGAAATATCACCAGAAAAACACTTAAGAAAACTAATCTGATGCCTTAAACATGCATCAGCTTGCAGCATTTGTGACTGCCCCTTCACTAAGCAGAAATCTGAGGGTCAGGGCAAGGAAAGAGTAAACATCACTGCTTTCCATAAATTGTACATTCCTAACAGTTGAAAGCAAAAAACAAGAACAAAAAAAAAAAATACTGACAGCGGTGCAACAAATTTGCCAGGCACTGAAGATTGAGAGGAGAGGCCAGAAGGAGAATTGCAGAGAACTGAGAAGAGATAGCCCAGGGAAGGGGAGGGGGAGGAGACATTGCTGCCACATGGCTGCTGGAGGGTCTTAGCGCCCTGGCTGTATGAAGGAAGTAGCACCCTGAAAATCCTACTGACAGCGTGGGTCCATCTGCAGGTGGGCAGAATTTAAGTGGCTGCATGAGAAATAAATGCTCTATTACTAATAGTATTGTGCCCTTTGTTTCAGAAGAGTACTTGGCTCTTTATGCCAAAGGCAGGTAGCATGTGTACTTACAGGAGGAAAATGAGGAGAATCAACCCTTGTTGGGGAATGCTGCAGTCTTCCCAGACCATCAGCACTGGGAAATTCTCACTCTTGCTATACATGGGGTAGGTTAGAGCCTGCACAACTGCCATGGAGGTGTAGCTGTGCTACTGGAGGGGAGTACAAAACAAAGGAAGGAAACTATCCTATTTCTTATTAAAGTTTTGCAAAAGAGACTTTAGTCTCTTGAGAAATCTGCTCCAGTGGCTTTTTTTTTTTTTTTTATTTTTTTTTTTTTTTTCCCGCCCAAGATGTTTAAAGATGGAGTACAAGAGAAAGCTACACTGTATAACAGGGGTCCTCAAACTTTTTAAACAGGGGGCCGGTTCACTGTCCCTCAGACACTGTTGGGGGCCGGACTATAGTTTGGAAAAAAATGAACGAATTCCTATGCACACTGCACATATTTTATTTGTAGTAGTGCACAAAAAAACAGGAAAAAAAATGCAATATTTAAAATGAAGAGCAATTGTAATCAACAAAAACAAATAATATTTCAATGTGAACTGCTTTTGGCTAATGAGATGGTCAATGTTAGGTTCCATAGTTGTCACTGCTAGCTGTAGCAAGTGATGCCAGTGTTCATCAGTTAGTCTGGATCTGATTGGAGATTTCAGATGTTTCATTCGGGAAAAAGTCTGCTCACAGACATAGGTGCTGCCAAAGATGGTTGCAATTTTGAGTGCATGGTTCCTGAGATTATGATATGTCTCTGAGGGGAGAGATGCATAGAAATTAGTAAGGCTGCTTGATTTGAATGCATCTTTCAGCGAGTCACAAGTCTGTAGTTCGGCCAGTTCCATTTGGTAAATCGGATCCTCCTCCTCCTTCTCCTCCTATATGAATTTTTGACTAAGACACTTAGTGCAATGAAGCAGGCAGCAAAGCCTGGACGTGCATTATACACTCTCGCTGGGGGAGAAGAATTTTGAAGTCAACTGCAGTGATAAAGGTATCTCTGTTCTTAACTGCACGGTGATTCAGTGACACAGTTAAGAGAGTCAGATGGTGGCGATATTTGCCTTTGCAGAAGCAGAAATAGCACCAGAACAGCAAAAAGGAGGGTCTCTTAGAAATCACTAATATTTTCTTGGAATTGCTAGTGAGAGTGTAGGTGAAAGTGTTAGTCCGTAATCTCAATAATCACCCGCACGCTCAACCTGGTGGGTTGAAAAGCAAGCTTTTATTAGCCGGCTGGCGGCAGACCTCTTACAGTTTGCCTAAGATCCGTGTCGTCTTAGGAAAAAGTTTGTGTTTTTATAGACAGCTGCAACTCCTGCATACGTTATTTGCAGTTACCAGTTCTTCACGGCTGATATCTTATCTCATGGTTGCAGCAAGAGCAGGGTGACTCAGCATAAGTAGCAAGCCATGTTCACAGAAGCAAATAGCGAAATTAGGTACCTAGTCACCTCAACCTTATTAACTTCTTATATGGCCCCTCTTTGCACAGGGTCCTACAAAAGACGTGGTAACACAATATGCTGCCCATGGTAAAGCTGTGCTGATGGTAGCACGTTGGTTGCAGAATAGCTACAAGATGTTAAGTTTAGGTATTTTGTGATCATTTAGAACAGGGTGCAAACGTGTAGAGAAGACTCCTACATCCTTAGCAGCTGAAGGGACATAAGGAATTGGAGGGTATCACAGA